TCTCACGGCATAAATGAAATGCATTTCCAAACCGAGATTTTTTCCTTTCCTTTGTTGTGAGAGTCTTCACAGGTTTCAAATTGAAGTTGTAGTCTAAGTGAAGGTAGTTAAGGTTCTTTCTGTGGATCAACAAGTTCAACATATTGTAACCCTGTTTGCAAACTTGCAAACCTGCTTCTGCCCAGTCAAGCTCCGTTGTTTGAAAAAACTTTGTCGCTTGGAGTGAACGGAACAGATGCTTCTTCTTCTGCGCCTTGGGAGGCCTATGATGTAGCTCATTGAGCACATAACACTTCAGTAGCTTCTGATAGCTGACACGCACCTTCACTGGATAAGCTGGTGGGCTACAAAAGAGAGATTAATGTGATTAGCATTGGAAGTTCAAGTGCATCAGGCAGAACATTGGTAAAAAGAGATCATTAAAAAGTATCAAGGATGTCATAATGGCACTCACCAGTGCTCCTTGTACCATTCAGATACAAGAGGGATATCTTCAGCACGACGTGTTCTACCAGACCTCATATTAAAAGGCTTTGGAGCAAAGAGTAATGAAATGCCAGCTGCTGTTGTATCAGTGTAAAGTTCTGTTCCTTTCAAGAGGGGCTCCACACCATCCGGGAGACAGAAGTCCTCATCTTCATCCTCTTCAATTGTCCTCCTCTCCCGACGATCAACCTTGCTTGTCGAAGTTATAGGATTTATCAAAGGATCATAGTAAAATGCAGGCAAGTCTGGATCATCTGTCTTGATATACATTATCATTGGAGTATGATATACCCCAAGCCTCACTTTCCTTGGCCTGTTATTGTACAAGTGTGGAAAAGCAATTCTATACTCTGTCCTAAGTGGTTGGCGGATGATGAGTTTGTTGATGTCATTAAACTCATTCCAGTCCTCATCCCCCTTCTCCATATCACGGTACAGTGGCTCAAACTTCGGACCTCCTGCAACATAGCATTCAATATGGTAAAAGAGCTTATGATGCAGAAACAGCAAAACGTACATGCCACAATCTTCCTACAAAGCTAAAAAATCTCATAAACATGCCAATGTTTGGATGCCCATTCAACAGTTCTAAAAATGTTTCCCAGTGTAAAAATTAATTAAATGCAAGATTCTCATATTTGAATAAAGCTAGTTGCAAAAAAATGGAAAGTTGTGCTTACAGGAGAAGGGATGAAGAGAACAGTAGAGAAGGCAAATTTTACATCCCAACCAGGTAGCTAATTTTCAAAGCCCCAAACTCACAGACATAAGCACGAAAATTTAAATCCTTCTCACACTATCACCCATACAATATACATCATCTAATTGATAAAGCCATTAACTACTTCACTGTCAAAAACACCAATGTTACAGTTACAGATGTCCCATAAAAATGAACAGCTATGGACATAAACTACCATCTCCATGCTTCAAATATTAAGCAATAATTAATGCACTAAAATCACGTAAATGAAACAAAAAGATGTTTTTGTTATGAACTCATTCTTAGCAAGAGCTAAATTCCCAACATTTTCCACAAGATTGTGCCAGCAGTCAAATACTAAGTGGTATAAATTCGATATAACCATAAGATCAATGCAATAACTATGCTAATCATGTATAAAGTGGTACAGCAATTAAAGGCATCAAAGTAAACAAGCTTATAAGTTATAAAAGGGAACACAAATATGGTTACCTGGGATACACATGTTGAGTGCTTTGGCGGTAAAGAAAGACTCCATATCAAACAAATAGAAATAATTTCGATCAATCAAATCTGACAAAAGTTGGCCAGCAAGACGATAGAGTGTTGCCATTATGGGAAGCGATAGATGCCATTTCCTGTAGCTGGGGCCATTTATAAGCTTTGTCTTAACAAGCGGCTTATGATCATAAAACCATTCATGCACAGCTGAATCTTCCTCCTCATCCAATTCCAACTGTATAGCCTCCAGTGGTTCAACATCCAGCAAATTATCAGCATAGTCTAATGGAGGTTCCTCATCATCAAATGGAGGAAAGCGCATTCTCTTGAAATGTCGCCTATCTCTCTTCTCCCTCCTCATCATGATCCACATCGTGCCCCACTGTCGAACACACATGTTTGAGATGGTGTAAGTATAAAAATAAGAAGCACAAAGCTAAAGATCAGATTAATTTATATACTGCATATCAAGTGTACCATACAGATCATAAAATAGCAATTGTTCCCAGAACAGGGCAACTGAACTCGGAGCTAAGAAGAAAAAAAGAGAAGGCATTTTAGATCATTACCTGTGCAAGGTAAATGGGCTCAACTACCCATGGGATCTCATTTACAAAGGTTATTGCACCAGTGATATGGTACAGAATCTTTACATGCCGGACCTGAAAAGAAAAGTTCCGTTATTCTATTGTGTATTGCCACTGTATACGTAATCTCACAAATGGCTACATCAATGTTCACATCGAAGAGTGTGAGGGTACAATACCTGTTCCCAGGGCATTGGCATATTTTCCAGTAGCTTGTAAACAGCATGAGGCACAAATTTGAGTGCTCCAAGATATACACGCTTATCGTGCCTGTACTTCTTTGAAGACATGTCACCATGGTCCCTGATCAGCAAGAAATAGAATCATCAATTGTCTGCAACATACTCATGAATTACAGCCCAGATAGTATCTGATGGTGAAGATGAGATATATGACAGCAAACTGAAGCAAAACATCCACTTGCCCCCATTCCTAGTAACAGAGGACCAGAGTACCAGACACAAACGGCATCAACCCCAAGCATAAAGAGAGATCTAGAATCAACAGCCAAAACAACTAGCAGATCAAAACAATCACCATAACTAGAGTACAAAATATCTACAATCATAATTGAGTTGAAGCAATCAGAGAAACTGTAGCATTCCCATAGCTATCACAACTTGACTTACAGTATTCCATTTCCAATGCTATAAGAAAGCAGCTTAATAGGGTGTGATCAGAAGTGCTGGCAGAAGCCGCACGCTGCAGTCAGCCAACAGCAGCTGCACCGATCAGACCCATTTTTTCACCTTTTTTTTCATACTCCCATAACCATAGAAGATAAGAAGCTGATAGCAACACCAACATGATGCTAAGATAAACCAGCAGGTCACAGTTAAGTCCATGCCTAAATACTTAACACGGTTACAGCCATAAATTTCAAACATCGCATCAAATTATACACTCGCAATACAAATAGACTCAGTTAAGAGGACAAACACAAACATCCCCTAAGCCCTAAAAACATCCCCTAAGTCCTAGAAACATCCCCTAAATCCTAGGACAAAAGCTACAAACAACTACAGGTCTACCTACGGCACAAAGCACCACTAGCAGTGTTCACCGGACCCTGGGTAGCTTATTGAAATCTAGCTAAATTATTCCATGTTAATTCGTATATTAGTCAATAATTTGATAATTAGTATGTACTGAACCCGGTAATTTACACCGCAACACCAAAACACATCCAGAAGAAACAGCGTGAGCCTAGAACGCCTTGGCCTGGAGACTACCTGATGATTTTGCGGACGTGCTCGGGGGGCATGTCCTCCTTCTGCGCCTCGACGAACCCGAACTTGCGCTTGTCGCCGTACCGCTTCGAGTTGAGCTGGTGCCACTTCCTCGCCTTCTCCACCAGCTGCGCCTCGAGCTCCGCCGGCGTCAGCGGCTTGCCGCCGCCGGGGGGACCCGCGGCCGCCGCCGCCGCCGGCAGCGGCGGAGGCGGAGCGCCCGTGCCCGGGGGAGGCGGCGCGGCCCCCATCGGCGGAGGGGGAGGCGGCGGCGGCCCGCCGCTCCACATCGTCGGCGGCGACGGGGGGAAGCAGGCAAGCGCGGCGGCCCGGCCTCCCGCTGCTGCCGCTAGGGTTCAAGTCTCGAGTGGAGTGGTGAGTTCGGGTTCGAGATTGAAAAAAAAAAAAAACAATGGAAGAGGAAAAAGGAAGAAGAAGAGAAGGCTATGGCGGCGACGCGCGAGGATTGGAGCCGACTTTTGGGAGATATTTAACCATTTGCCACATTTAGATGTGGCAATTAACTTTTTGCCACTGGACTCACATGTCATAGACAAATGTGGACCCATATGTCATAGACTTTTGGCGTTTAATGGACCGGGCCGGGTGCATCACGTTATTGGGCTTAAATTTATGTCTTGGGCTGCGTTTTGAGAAAGAGGTTAGAGGAATAGTCAATCGTTTTCCGTACATGCTTTCCAAACAATTTAACGATGAATTTAAATTTAAATTGCTTAAAAGTTACATTGATCTATTTTTTGGATTTTTAAATAATTAATACTCAATTAATGGCAAGCCTCGCTTTAGGTATCTTTTCAATCTTCTCATTTCTCCTCCTCTTAAACATGTTGGTTCTTTTCAAATTTATTTTCCCTCCTCTTAGAATTGTAAGATCATAGAGGTGGGGTTTGCCCAATAGAATCTTATAATGTTCACTAATTTTATATACAAATCCATTGCTTTTATCTTTTCTTTTCCATTATAATTTCCAGATATGTAGTTGTACGCGTATGATTTTCTACTTGCAATAACAATGATCGCATTTTTGTCGAATAAAAAAGATTGATCTAGTTATGAGGAATGTGTGTATTGGCATTTGAAGCAAGCTACCTCTGATTCCTAATGTCTATCATTAATCTATATGAATTCAAAATAGATATAGGCTGCCATCGGCTGGCTTGTTTGGCTTAAGCTTGGGTTGGCGCTTTTCAGCCAAACAAGTGGGACTCGCAAGGGAGTTGGATCATCAGTGGTAGATAATTATGTGAACTCTCTTGTGACCATACACAGAAAATAAGAATCCCAATACCACCAGTCACAGAAAATCCCTCACCAGCCATATAAGCAAAATAAGCCAAACAATGGTTTTTCTTTGGCTGAATTGAATTTGGCTGATCAGCCAAAGCTTCATGCCATCTGATGAGGCCGATACTTTTTGTGCCCAGTGTGTATTGTACTAACTTTCTTCAAAATAGCAGTAAGAGTAAAAGATAGTACATGGAAGGTGAACGATGTCAAGTAACAAATTAGATACCACAATATACAAACACTTCTTATTACATATATAACAACCACGAAAAGACATACAACACACAGTGAAAAACTCTAAAAGATCAACATAGGACACGGACAAAACAAAATCCTACCAAATCATACAAAAAGAACAAGAAAAACCAAAACAACAAAACAATTTTAACACCTTTCCACAAAATTAAAAGAAAAAAAAATCCCATGGTGAATTGGCAATCTCCAACATTCTCCTTTACTGTCACATGCCACACCACGCGACAGCCACGGCGACGGCCACGCCGACCAAGCCCCGCCGCACCGTGCCCCGCGCCGCCGCCTCCGACGCCGTCGCCACCGTCGTCGTCGTCGTCCCGGCAGCCGTGTCGGCCGCCGGCGCGTCGGCCACGCCGACGGGGCCGGCCTTCTTCTTGGCCTTGTCCGCCGGCGACGGCGCCGGCGCGGGCACGGGCGGGCCGTAGAGCGCCCACGGCAGCAGCACCTTGTCGACCTGGTAGACGACGAGGCGGTCGCCGGAGTAGAGCGTGTTGTCGACGGTGGCGTTGACGACGCCGGTGGAGATGTTCACGCGGGAGCCCTCGGCGGTGACGTTGAGCGGGTACTTGCCGGCGGCGGTCTCGCCGGCCTGCGTCCGGAGCGGGTTGCTGACGGTGTCGAACTGCGCCATGGGGAGCAGCGCGGACACGACGTGGAACTGCACCAGCGACGTCTTCTGCTGGTCGGAGAGCTTGTTGAGGGTGCCGGTGGGGAGCGCCGCGAACGCGTTGTCCGGCGGCGCGAACACGGTGAGCCCGCCGGAGGACGACGCCTTCCCCTTGATCTGGTTGTTGATCTGCTCGCCGGCCTGCGTCGACTGCAGTAGCTGGAGGAACTTGGTGAACTGACCGGCCTTGGTCAGGATCGCCGTGATCGTCTTCGGCGCCGCCGGCGCCGGCGCCGGCGCAGCCGCCGCCGCCTGCCCGTTCGCCACCGGAGACTCCACCGCCATCACCACCAACATCGCCGCCACGAGGATGGTCGTCGTCGCCGAAGCCGCCATGGATGCCAAACTCTTCTTGGCCACGTGCATGCAAATGCAGTGAGCAGTTTAGTGCAATGAGATGCTTTGCAAAGTGAGATCATTAGGCTAATTATATAGGCGTGTAGAGTGAGATGGAAGAGGTTAATCAATGGTAGGGGGTGTGATCAAGAAGTGATAACTGAGCTGGGAGATGATGGAATATTAAGTCATTATTAGTAATTAATTAGCTGGTAGTATGTAATTATGTATGGTGTGTGGATTGGGGTTGGTTGCTTGATGGAGCAGCAAGAGAGTGGGGTTGGGGTTTAAGGATCGGGATCGCGCTTAGCTCTGACACTCGTGGATTTAGGTGGGTAAGGGACACAATGACTGCTTAACTAGGGACATCGATAGATCATTTCGCTGCAGATCAGATCATACTCACCATTAATTGCAACTTGCAGGGCTTTCTAGCTCCGAGCTGTAATAATCTAAGGTGAGTGATAATTAATGCCAGGACATGTATGGCCTTCCAGCCGTCCGATCAGGAAGCCGCTTCGGCCTCGTTTTAATTAGAGGAATTGTGGGGAATTTTTGTTAGGATTCAATTTCTACGGATAATTTTTCTATTTGATCCTTCGGAACAAAAACTTGGAGCTTCAAAATTTTATTTGGAATGGCTCCCGTGCATGGAGATTTTTGATACACGGACAAAGGCACCGCCTAGCTACCTTGGGTGGCTGCTTGGGGCTTCGTTGGCGAACGCCTAATAGAATTACCATGTTATTATCTTATACGGATTATGGAGTACTCATAGTTACCGTCTGACCAAATAATTTTTTTCATCACTCCATATAATTGTTTTAGAAGTTTCCTCACTTCACTAATATTTTATAGAAGAAAGTTAACATAAGGTCCAATCTCTAGAAGAAGTTAACATAAGGTCCAATCTCTTGAAGTTCTCTCTTAACCTGTCTCCTATGAAAATTCTCATGAAAATTTGATGTTCTTCGTACTGTTTTACCACTCGTACGTTTCAAAGGAGGTCATCCTGGCTTGAGACCCTGTACCAAAAATGATGTTCTTCCTAGTATGTTTTACCATTCATGTTTCAAAGGAGGTCATCCTCGCTTGAGATCCGGTACCAGAAATGTTTCTTTTTGGTTTTTTGGGGGGGCTTGGAATTGAGGCTTCCTAAGCTGGATTGGTTCATGATGAGCAGACAACATTGCACCAGCCACAACCAGCTAGCTATCTGGGTCAGGAGGGTGGTGCATCCATCACAAAGCAGGTAAAATTGGTAGCATGCAACAGATCAGCAGGAGATCAACAACGGCAACTCGACGAGATCGCAAGCACCTTCACCGATGGTGAACACCGAACCATCCAGCTGCAGCTGGCAAGAGAACAGCCTCTTAACGGCCGGGCCCCTCAATCATGAGATGAGATATCCATTGGCCCTTGCGCAGACGTGAACAGCAAAACCATCCGGGAAGAGATATCTCCATGTTAGAATTAACCACTGAACAACAATTGGATGCTTTTGAGCGAAATTAACTAACTTGGGAGATTTACATTGCACATAGGTTTTGCTTGAGTTTATAATAGTCTAATAGCTCACAAAATAATTCCATATCGACCGAGATAACTTATTCACAAGAGCCCACAGATTGCGGAGCAATGGAGACAGGCATAATTTGGCCTGACCTTGAACTGCATCATTATATAAATGGAGGGGAAGATCAATTGGTCCCCTCATCAGCTGCCTTCATCTGCGGCAGCAGCTTTGCAAACTGGGCAGGTGTTCTTCACCTGCAGCCACTTCTTGATGCAATTGCAGTGAAACCCGTGGCCGCATTTCAGCCTCCCAAGTGTGTCCTCATGCTTGTATTCCTCCTGCAGTGAAAAAGAGGTTGTGGATTAAGTAACTTGTATTGCGTAAAATGCGCTGCGGGAATCGCTATCATAGTAGGTAGATTGGTACCATCCACTATCTTACCAGGCAGATTACACATCTTTCATTGTCCTGATCATCCTGCAAATGACTACTGCTGCAGCAGGCTACCTCCATCACACAGCCAGAAATTTTCTCATCAGCGAGGCCAGTGTTCACATGGCCTATGCGTTCTTCCAAAGCCAGCAGCTCCTGTGTATAGAAAAAGTTGCATTTGTTTAAATAGCATTCTAAAGCTGCTGTGGTATTAAAGAGAAAATTGATTCTTTCTACCTCATAGCTCATGTCATCAATGTCCAGTCTCATGTCCCAGTGAGGATCGAATGCTTCTCTTGATTCATGGATAACTAACTGATCCAGCATCATAAACCGCTACAAAGAGTGAAAATAGATTAGATGCGTGTTCAAAATTTTAACATTGTACTGATATCAAGAGGAGAGAATAATATCTACCTCAGCTGCTGATCTTCCCAAGTTATTGTCTTCAATCATCAAATGATGAAAACCATGATAGGAATCCCTCATCCTTCTACTCCTTGCACTACCACTGCCCCCTACAGATACATGCCTTGGATGCCTCAAATGTGCAGCAGCTTCAGCATGAAATGGCTGGACACTTGATGATGCTGCAGAGGTTGCAGGTGGATAGCTAGGGGCAGCAGGTGGATAGCTAGGAATAGCTGGCTCATGGGAGACTGCTCCAGGGTTGGAAGAAGATGCAAAAGCTGGAGGAGGATAAGTGCGTAAGTTGTTACGATGAGCTGATCTAGGGGCGTACCCACCATGAGCAAATGGTGCACTGTCACAAGAAATAGGAAGCGTTGGCACAGGTGCACTTATGTTGGTGCTCTGTGGAGCAGGATAGTATGGCCTCTCTCTGAATGCTATGCTACTACCATCAGGCCCTAGACAAAAACAGAGAAAGGTCTTAGCTTCTTAAATAATACCAAATTCAGAGAATGGGCATACCACCTTATCAGGAAGCACACATTTCATTTGAAACTGGACTAGATTAAAATTGAGTGGGAAAAAGCTATGCTTGAAAGGAAGTAGTTGCATTAGTCTACTAGATGAATCATGAATGCTGATATAGTCATAATTCATAAGAGTTGGGTTTATCTCAACAAACAGAAGAAAAAAAAGTAGTAGTTGACATATGAGATATGATTACGTACCTACAGTTCAGACTAAAGTACGCATCAGATTAGAACAGAAGCTGCAAATAGAAGAGAAGAAGTCAAAACTAACCTGGAGGAAGAATTCTTGGATGCACAGATAAAGGAGCTCTGTCACGTTGTACTGGTGCACTTCCAAAAGGACCATTTGCATTTGGATGGTATGGTGGCACATTGATGCTGCTTGACGGGCAAGCTGCAGCTGGACTTTGTTCCAAATGGATAGTACTATGATCATGTCTTCCCCTCACATTCCTCTGAGATCCTTCATGATTAACATAGCGGTGATCATTCCAGTGGTTCGAACCCAAGTGTGAGGGCATTCGAACACAGGATTCAGGAGGTGGAATAGGATTTGGAGGCATGGGCCGAGAGAACTGAGTATTGGAAGAACTGCCAGCATAATAATTTCCAACACCGAATCCATCTGTAGGATGAATGATGGGATTTCTTCTCTTCAATGCAACCCTTCTGCCATCCACATGGGAACTTGGAATGAAATTATCCTCGGATCCGTGTGGATAGCTTGAAGCAGGCATATGTTGAGTATTGTATGGTGCATAGCTACCACTAGAGCTTCCAGCAGGTGCATGACCAGAATATGAAGCATGGATGGGGGCTCTATTCTGCTGACCATAAGCTTGGCCAGCATAACTTGAAGACGGAAGATCATTCGATCTCATTGTGTTACCCACATAGCCAGACGATCCAGCTCCGTTAGCTGGATCACTCCTAGGATGCATAAATAACTTTTGGCCTGGCATAATAAGGCACGAGTGAAGTAAATTTACCATACTTGAGATAATGAGAGGATTATGAACACTTAGGAAGTAATTCAGTTTAGTCCATGTACCAAAAGGTGGAGGTTCATTGTTTAGCCTGTCCATATGATCCATCCGGGACATCTGGGAATTATTATACTGATGTCCAGCCATAACACGTGAACAATCTGATCAAACTTGGCTTAATCTGGGAAAACAAGTTGCTCTATTAGTTTTCCAGCAAATCTATTGCAGCTGCAAATGGACTGTAAACATGAAGTTTTAAACTAGAAAAAGAAGGGCAAGATAATATATGCATAATCACAAATTCATAAACTTCAGGAACAAAGCATTTCAACCTTAGAAGCGTTATATTTGAGACCTGAGTCACACAGATCTGAGATGCCATGGGCCAAATGATTCATCATGTCCAGTGTCTTACTTAATTTAACACAAAGCATTCTACACATATGAAAGTTCCTGTCATACATATCCAGGAACACTTCGAAGGAAATCTGAGCATTGTATTCAGACAAAAAATAAGCCAAAACAAAGGCTGTTTTGGCCGCAGAATAGCAGTTCCAGATATAAACCAGAAATGGAATTGCATACCAATCTGTTGCAGGAAGCAACAGTTCGACACTTAATTTAAGAACCAATGCATAAAGACATGGCTTTGATAAAGGTGCAGCTGTTGAACAATTCGAAATCCACCAAAATTTCATGACTACTTTGCAGGATAACTATGACACCGATTACATTTCCCCATGACAACTTAAAGTCTAAACAGTACCAAAAATATATTGTGCCCAAATCCATGTTTGTGTTGTACACATAAAATTATTTGCACCTTTTCATACATGATGTTGGTTATATTTCATGGGGGAAAAGATATAATCAAGAAAAGGCAGAGTTGATAGATTGCAGCAGTCTCAGTAAAAGTGATAGCTCAAAACATTGGTTGTGCTGCATGTGTAGATTCTAAGAAGCATTCTGGTTGTTTTAATATGTTTTGACTTCAAGCTCAAAAACATACAACATTTCAACACTATTCACCTATTAATATGGTTATATTTACATCTTCAGGCATGATTTGAGACAAAATAGGTCCAAATATCAAGACTACATTCATCTTTTCTCCAAAGGACAAACCAACATAATATTGGCATACATGTTACAACAGCATATGAATACCATGTTTCACAAAAAACATAAAAATGTGTTTGTGGATACTAAAATAGCTTTATATTTCTTTTTTTCCCCAATTATAGTATGGCCGATAACAAGACAACATCAGAACATCAAGGAACATCAAATGCATTGCAATCTTATGTAACAATGACAATACAAGTAGCAAAAGTAGAAACAAATTTATAACTAATTTGTATGTATGACAACACTCTTCCAACAGTACAGTTATCATTCACATTCTAGCAAGTAGCAAGTATAAGAATCTGACTGAATCTCAAATATTTACATGGAAAAGGATAAAGCCCTTGTCATATTGAGCTATGACATGTGGGAGAGATATCTGTACATAATATTAGAAAAACAAAAGAACAACACTGGATGTGTAAAACTTAAAAGGTGTAACGCTAACTAATAGCTTCAGAATAGCCAGGCAAAACCATCAAGGCGGATGGTCATAGTATAACAGTGGAACAAGCCCCGTTTTAAATGATGCCAGATGTACGGCATTGCTAAGGTTCCCTTCATGGCATTGTTGTGCTTGTTTATTCTGCTTATGAGTAAGTGCATCTTGTTTCAAACACCATCAGTTGACCTACTATTGACTAGCCTCTCTTTCCTTCCACCTCCATCAAATGGATATCTCCAGAGAAAATACTCAGTGCAATCAGTTCTGAACTGCTGCTTCAAGGGTCCAGGTACCGCCATCACCAAGTCAATTCTATATGCTAAGCTGATTTTGACTTGGAAAGCACCTTCAGATCAACTAATATGGTAGAAAACATTTAGCTCTTTAAGTTTTCTTTCCCAGATTTTACACCCATCTATTTGCGAAGTAGTTCACACTCCTCCAGTCAATACTTCCAAGGAACTCAAAATCCTTCTCTACATGTTAGCAATGGGCCATGAGACTATCAATGCTCTTCATACACCATCACTAAGTACTAAGCTAATCGTCGTAGGTGCCCCCTTTCCAGTCGTCAGACGAACAAAAAATTCAGCATCAAATGACAATGTATCAATTGCCTCATCCAAAACCACATTGGAAGGCCTGACTTGTAATTTATGATATAATTGCTGTTACTATCTTGCAAGAGGTGTCGCTTTCCCCACTCTAAGGGCAATGCAACTCCAACAATGATGTTAGGCCAATGTTCTTATACTGAGGACAAAGCACATGTCCTCAAATGGCATATATCAACTGGAAGAGCTCTTCCATTTGCTGCACCAGTAGTCAGCATTTAGCATCAACAAAATGATTATGGAGCCCAAAACACCCATTTGTTACACCTTAATGTAAGCTTGATTTTGGTAAATCAAGGAAAATAAAACTCTCCATTACAGGGAAGAATCAATTAGTACCTGCAATGTCATTAGTAGCTCAGTTCAAAGTATTAACAGTTATAATACCCTGGTAAAGGTATTACACAACATTTGTATGATAAAAAGCTAGGTAGTATTCCCAAAGATATAAATTCCCCTTGTTTTAGTTTTCATTTTTAGAGTTAGAACAGCAACAAACTATAAGGGCTAGAGAAAACAAAGGAAACTATTATAAGTTTATAACAGTTTGAGAAAAGGGAGAAGAATGAGAAGGTATATGTCCTTTTGTAAAGGTGAGAATGACACAAAGGATTAAGATGATTAAAAGTGATAACTTCCAATTTACTCATTATATATATGCAACTAATATGTCTGGAACCATTCACTAACCTGAATACCTGACCATCAGATTATTGGAAGAAATGGCAATTGCTTACCCAACCTAATTCCCGCGTGTCCCAAATGTGGAGTCAAACACACAACATAACTGAATCATGTTCCAAAGATTGTGTCCAACTCTAATAGATCTTAATAACAGCTTTCAAGGTCGTGGGTTATTGTGGAAGCCGAATCTCACTATAGCCTGCATTTGCATAATAAATGGTGGTTTCGTGGCATTTCTAATAAAATAAAATACTATATAGATAGTCTTGAAATGTTAATAAGGAGTACCTGAAGATGCAGAAGACATGTTGTGCAAGTGATGTTGAATTTCAAAGCAAAGGACACGGAGTTGTACCTTTGACATATTGAACATTTCTGCTTCTAAGGATAAACCGAGGTTGTAGAACTTATATGTTCTCTGTCTGATGGAAGACATGGAAATTTAAGAACCAATATGGATGGAAGGGTTAAAGGGATGCTTTCCATTGGGAGAAGCATCATGAGAAGAAGGTACACTTGAAGGTTCAGATATAGCATGAGTTATACACGTCATATAATTTTTTTTCTATCCGTTGATCATTTAGATGCTAAGAAATGACATGAATTGCATTTCTATTACATAAGAAACTGTGATAACACATTAGATAGTGTAGTCCCTTGTAGAAGAGTTCAACTAAAGATGCCATGCTAGGCTGCTAATAGACAGGACAAGGAGTCAAACAAAAATGTTTGCTGACTTAAAAGTTACACGGGTCAAATAACTCTTCTCACTGAACTATTCTTACATGGACAATAAGAAGAATAAAGGACCACTTTAATTAGTAGAGCTTAGCTCTTGAAGTTAAATTTATGATGTACTTTTACTATGTCAATATTGTGCCTAAGAGGGAAAATAAGAAAAATCTCCAAAGGTATATAGTTGGTGGCTCAAGTATGTATGAGACTCTCGAACTAAAGTGTAGCAACGCAAAAAAGGCTGGGCCAGAAGATGCTGACTCCTTGATAGAACTGAAAGACTCAGTGGTGGTGAGGAACATTTTCCAATTAAATGCGTGATTTGAACAAGACAAAAACTCAAATAATTTTACTACTAAACAATCACACCTACGACTCATCCATAGAAGCTAAAGCACAAAGATAAGTTCCAACAACTGATTAGGGGGCGAGAACAACCTATGGCCAAAAGATTAGACTGACAAAGATAAACAGTTAATTGCAACTAGGCAAACAATAGTTATGAACAGACAGGATCGCTGTGAACGGCTTGTTTGACACCAACAGGACGCCCCAATAGAGAGAGTTCGGTACGGATTAGCGCGTGATTCCAGTCACAGGAGATGAAAACTTCCTTCGCAGCGGAAATCACATGATCTCAAGCACTCTGAAACCTGAATCGACCAATCGCGCCGCTGTACATCACACCCGCCTCATCGATTATTAAGCCGACGACGAGTAATCCCAGAAATTCCCCCATCAATCCGACCACGTCCGATACCCGATCACGCTCCGCTCCCGTCACGCACCAACAATCAACCGCAGGAAATGGTCTACCCGGCGAGAAAACCCCACCCGATCAACACAAACCCTTGGATTATTACGCGGGGGGAATTTGGGGGGAGCGAATCGGAGGGGAACGGGGGCAATACCTCCTCGTGGGCGGCCGATCCAGTAGACGGCTCGTCCTCTCCGCCGCCGCCTCCTCTCCCCCCACCACCGGAGGAGGAGGAGACGAGGGTTTGGTCCTCTCTCTCCTCTTCTTCGCGCGAGCACGCAACCGCAGCGATGGTTTCGTGGAGCGACGCTGTTTGCTTCCTCCTCGAAGAAAAAAATAAAAAAGAAAGGGGGGAGAAGAGAAGGGAGAGGAGTCGCGGTATTTATAGGGGAAGGCGAGGAATTAATTCGAGGCGTGGGCCCACCGGTCAGTGGGCGTGGGCCCACCGGTCAGTGGGCGTGGGCTGAGTTGGGGTGCGTGTACGCTGCGACTTTTTGCGAGGGGGAGAAAAAAATGCGGCCGCTTTTCCGTGTCTGTGGGTGGTGGGCCCCACCTGTCAGAGAGGCGTCGACCAGTGGAACCGCCATGGTGGCACGCGTGTCACGGGCCAGATGAGACGCGACGCGAGGTGGGCCGTCCGATCTGCTTTGAGATTCGGGGGCCGAGGCCCAAGGCCCACACTGACGAGGGGAGAGCGTAGGCAAATCCGGGATTCCGGCGAGGGGCGGCGGCGCCGGCGCCGGCGAGACGGCGAACGCTCCTCCGGTGCGGGAGGAGATGAGGGAGGGAGAGAGGGACGGCGTTCGTGGTGGGGATTCACCGGCTGCGACGGGCGCTCGGTAAAATACAGGCTGCAGAAACCCTTGCATTTGGTTGGATTGTGAATCTGTGATGCAAAACCTAGGCTGTTTTTCTTCTGAAACCTGAACTATGTTGATTGGGAATGTCTTTGAAGAGTGTTGTCAGATCAGCACCTAGATATAATTCTTCTGTACTCATCAGTTATAGGTGATTTGCTCTGATGCCTCATTTGTTTAAGTTGATTTGCACTTATGCAGTCCACAGGGGTTGAAATGGTTCTGATTTTTTCGCCGGGTCGGCTTTGCCGACCAAACAATAGTATTAAGAAGGAGAAAATTCAGAACTGTACAGAGCAAAAACAAAAGAGAGCAAACACACACACCCTGAAAAAAAAATCAGAGGTGACACAGCTCCTACTAACAGAGCCGAAGCTCACACACACCCCTGTGCTGCTAACTAGCTGATCCCTCTGGATATGGGGCTTCTTGCTTCAATTTCGCACAGCAGACCGGCCGCTTTCCAAGCTTCCCATTCTTCCACAATTGTGGCACAAAGATGTTCCGCTGAGGTTGCTCTTCCATCAAACACTCTAGCATTGCGTTCCTTCCATATGAGCCATGTCACAAGGATCACCCCGGCGTCAAATGTCTTTCTGTCTTGCTTGCGCACTGATTTTCGGACTGAACACCACCAAGAGGAAAGATCTTCTGATGGCACCGAGCAGGAAAGGCTAAGCCGATCTCGAATCCTTGTCCAAACCTGCTTTGTGAAGGGACAATCATGGAAGATGTGGGAGCAGGACTCGCCGTCGTTTGCACAAAGGTGACAGATCGAGGCCGAAATGGTTCTGATTTTGCTTCAGTAGAATTCTGGTTACTAACCGTAAAGTTTTCTATGCTCCCTAAATTTACACACAAGTTTATTTGATTCACTGCTTAGGAAGTTTCAATATATTAGATAGGTAAAATATTACACAAGTTTATTTGATTCACTGCTTAGGAAGTTTCAATATATTAGATAGGTAAAATATCACAAGGTACTATTAAGGCCCATAATTTTATTCTCATAGGGTTAACTATTACTACATGAGAGCTCACCTATCATTTAGTAACCAGCTAATGCCTCTAGAATGGTGTATAGGGTATTTAAATCTTCAATATGAGCTCCCTGTGGCTGTGATAGCTTGAAGTAATCTTGGCATTGGTGGCATTTCAAGTTCTAACAAACCTTCAAGAATTTGAACCACTTCGCCCATGGTCGGCCGATTAGACTCATTTTCTTGGACACACCAGCAGGCCACCTTGCTTATTCGTTCAGCCTCATCCAGGTTAACATCATCAAGCAGTTTGTTATCTAGCAAGCTCCTGACATCTCCCTCGAGAAGTTCATTTGCAACTTGCACAGGGAAATATGCAGCATGATCATCATCACTTGTGTCTTGTTTGCATGAGTTCCTCCTACCTGACATTATTTCAAACAACACCATTCCATAGCTATAGACATCAACCTTGGATGTAATGGCCACTCCACTAATTCATTCTGGTGCAAGATACCCTATGGTTCCTCTAAATGTAGTAAGAACTCTACTGAAATCTCTTCCAACAAATTTTGCCATTCCAAAATCTGCAATTTTAGGCACAAATGATCCATCAAGAAGTATGTTCTCTGGCTTAATATCACAGTGTATGATGCAATCCCTGCAACTCTCATGCAGGTATGCCAACCCTCTAGCAGCTCCAAGGGCTATCTGGTAACGGGTACTCCAGTTTAGGATCGTAGTATGGTTCTGAAAAAGGTGCGTGTCAAGAGAGCAATTTGGCATGTGTTCATATACAAGCAGCCTCCTACCACTATCAGAACAGAATCCAATAAGCTTAACCAAATTGATGTGTTGGATTATTCCAATGGAACTCACCTCAGCCCTGAATTGCTTCTCACCTTGACGGTCACCACCAAGCTTTTTTACTGCAATAGGTGTCGAGCCACCTAGAAACCCTTTGAATACAGCACCAAAGCCGCCTTCTCCTAATTTCTCAGAGAAATTTTTAGTTGCATGTTGCAGAACACTGTATTTGAAAGACACAATTCCATTTCCCCCTTGAACATTATTAGTAGGAGCAGTAAATTGCTTCCTTTTGTACCTCCAGATTACAGTAGCTGAAAACAAACCCAAAGCAACAACACTGGAAGCAACCGCAGCACCAATAATCTTTCCTTTTCCATTTTTATTATGGCTCCAACTTGCGTCTTTGGCGGCAATACGTAGGTAGAGAATTTCTCCATCACTAGTAGTACCTTTATTATACTCTTACATTAAGCAAATCATCATACCATACAGAGCACCTGTTACCATAGGAATATGCAGTGCAAGAACAATTATTCTGGCAAGCTAGTGCACATTGGTCAGCTGTCCTAGCAGCTTCTATGATGTTGGCTTCTGTGGGCAATCCAATACCGGGCAAGGAGTAAAACTTGTCAGTTGTAGCAGTTCTGCTTTGGTTCTTGGTGCCGCAATCTAATGGTGTATTTCTTATGCATCCACCAGCTCTATCCTCTAACTCCCAATCCTTAGGTGATCTTACTGAGAATCCCTTAATGCAATCGCACACTTGGAGTGCATTGCTGTTGCAGACAGTGAAAGGTCCACATGTAGCATAGATATCACATAGATCTTTAGGCAGAGTATAGATCGTTGCCCATTCCTGCTTGTTCTCAAGCCAGAGGAGCTGTTTCATCTGACCAGATATGTCCAAAAAGCAAACAGTTATTAGATCTTTTTCTAACAAGTTGAACACAAAGTACTTCTCTTGGTTGTTGTTGATGAACTTGAAGTCAAATAGAGTTCGTCCTGACATCTCTGGTATTGAGTTGAAGAATTGGCCATTCCATTCCCCAGTAGACCAATAGACTATGGAAGAGTTGCAAAACTCTAAGACGTATTGGTTAGCACCAGTAGGGTCTAATTCCAGGCAATAGAGGCCAGCAGCTGGATCAGCCAAACTCTTCTTGGAAACAATAACACGGTTCAGACCAGTCACCTTATCTAGGCCAAACTTTGCACCAATAAGCATGACATCAGTAGGGTAGTCAAAGCTCTGCCATAGTACGTTGGACGAGTTGGATGCATCTCTTAAGATGAGGTTTCCATTATCCTGGAGGACAACCATGGTTTTCTTGGCTGTGATACTGGCATGAGTCGACCAAACCGTCGATCTGGTGGCTTGGTTGAAGATGGCAAGGTTGCCATCACTGGCAATTGTGAGTTTTGTCACTCTGTGATGGCCTACAATTGGGTTCTCTCTGTTTGCTATCCATATTGGAGTTAACACTGGTATCTTGTCGAACCATATGCCTAGGTACCAGTGCTTGAGGGTGTGCCGGGGGAAGAACTTACTGTCGGTGTCCGGATGGAAGAAGCCGAGCGCGAACCTGCCATTGCGAGAGACAAGCTTCTCATCTTTCGGGAGTGCTTCACCGGCTGAAATCGTGTCCGTTGCAGCAGAACACGCCGGAGAATGTATGGAGAAGAGCAGAGGCACAAGAATGATGAAGGTACGAAGCATGGTGAATGAAGAGGATAAGAACGAGGAATGCGATTTCGGTGTTTGGGGGTGCTGGTGCCATGATATATGCCTCTTAACATGGTTGAAGAATATACATGCTGCATCATTGCATCTTGACGTGCTTTCTTTGAGACATTTTTGCAGCCTTGCACTCACGTCAACTTCAAAACCTACTTTGCTGCCAATTTTGGTGATCAGCCACTACTGGTCTACTGCAGTCAAGCTTGGTATATTGGATTGCACTGTGTTCAAGACTGTAACAGAACTCATTTTGCTGACATTGTAGATGTTCTGACTAAAATTACTTAATTTTTGAACATCAGTCGGCAGCATGGAATATACAATATGTTTGGTAAATTAAAAAAAAAAGGAAGGTAAATATGGCTATACGCCTATGTCTAGCACAAGGCATCCACTTTTTTTTAATGACACTTTGAAGGTCGTGTGATTTTTCTATCAAATGCATGCTAGCAAAGATATAAAATTACCTTCCTATCAACTCATCAGTAGGGTTGGCAATAGGCGGTGGGTGGCGTTGGCAACGGAGGAAAACAACGAAACTGATTAGGAGGCGGCGGCCGGTGGTGGCGGATCTAGCTACGGCGAGCCACCGGAGGTGAGAAAGACGGAGGGACGGGGGACTCGGTGCCACCCTCTCGCCGGCCTCGTTGACCCCTTCTAGCCAGGCGGCGGCGCGATAGGGTGATGACGGAGCAGGAGGTGGAGGCTCCGCGTGCGCGTGCGCATGAAAGCAGCGGTGGCATGCGGACCGAGGAAAATAAAGAGAGAAAAAGAAGGGGGCTTAGTTATGTTGCATGAATCTCAACGCGATCCAATGCTCTAGAATTTGTAATATTTTAGGGGGTTTCAGTCAAAAACCATATAGACAATCTCGGAAAATAAATATATTCTTCAACATCATCTCATACATTGCTACATTTTGAATAAATAAAGTAAAATCTATGTTCAAATCCGCAAAATTGAAACGTCGCACTAAAATATAAAATCAGGCTGGTCAAATGCTTATGAAGAATTCAAATACTTTGAAATATAAAACATATCTTAGTTTTACTCCCGTATAAGAGTCTGTTATTTAAGATAGTTTGAAAGATTGAGCACCTTAAATGGTTTTCTACTGAATACATTGCCCAGCTTTCTTCGCTTTGAGTAGAAGAGAAAGAGTAGAACAGAACTGTTCAGAAAGAATTAGCAAAACGAAGCATATCAGAGCTTTTATTTTCTTTTCAAGAACAAATATGGTTTTTCTATTCCTTTTATTGCCCATTTGCTTTCATCAAAATATAGGGTGGACGTATATTATTTTGTCTATTGCAGCTATATACATTTGAAAGGAAAAAAAATTAAAGACGAGATTTTGTCAATGCAGCAGGTTTGAAGCTGGCGATTCCGGTGATCTCTCTTCCGGTCACCAAGCTGTTGATGTCATAGGTGCCTTCGTACGAGAAGATTGGCTCCAGATCACAGAACGCCTGCAAATAAGAAGTATATTATGAATCACTGTTCACCCACTAGTTAAGAAAGAACAAGACTCTGACAGAAGTGTACAACTTAAAAGTTGCTCGATAAGTTTGTCAAAGTGATGTTAGTGATGTCTTAGGGGGTGTTTGGGAGAGAGGGGCTAAGTTGCTCGATAAGTTTGTCAAAGTGATGTTAGTGATGTCTTAGGGGGTGTTTGGGAGAGAAGGGCTAAACTCTCAAAAACATAAATCCCTCCCCTAGAGACTTATGGTTTTGAGTTAGCCCATCTCTCCCAAACACCCCCTTAGGCTAATGTTTTCTGTAGCGATATGGATACCTTGAATTCCTAGTAATGCTATGTCAAATTTGCAGAATCAGTTGTCACGTGTAATACAGTGCGATATTGAATTTGTATTACTATGTTGGTAGCGCTTCCCCCTATCATTGACTACTTTGCTACACGAGTGAGCACCGTGAACCCAAAGGTATGCAATGTACGTACTGCGGTAAAGACGTGCCCGTCGGAAAATCTTAAGAATTACTTTAATCTTTCTAATCAAACCTATCATGTTTGGATTTGGAGAAGTCCAAAGAGATTATGTTACCAAAAAAGAAAAAAAAATCTGAATCATTTTACCTTTGCTACCAGAAAGTCAGCCAAAATTCCGTTTCCACCCAGTAGCTCACGGCCAAGAGAAACCACCTCCCTAGCCTTCTTGGATGTCCATGCCTGGATTCAAGTATTATCAGTGAGATGTTGAAGAAAGCAAGCGAAAAGTAAATCAAACCGAACAGCGCACAATCATAAGGTGGATGCCATTTTTCTAAGTGCATTGTGATTTTGTACAAACCTTGCCTAAACTAGCATGGCCTGGTGTCATTTTGCCTGATTCATACAGCTTGCACAGGCGCCAGCCGACAAGAAGCATGGCTTGGATGTTTCCTAGCATGCGAACAAGCTTTTCTTGGTTGAGCTGAAAAGCTGCCAACGGAACTCCAAATTGCTTTCTTTCTTTCAAATACCTATCCAATGGTAAATAATAAAGTCAATACATATTAGGTGGTACCAATTTGAAACTAGTAAAGACTGAACTAAGAAGGTGATTCGCACCGATGACACATGTCGAAGACCCCCATGGATATCCCAATTGGCTGCCATGCCACCATAATGCGCGACATAGCAAGGACCTGATCCGGTAGTTAAAGTTTCAGCAAGTAAAAATCAGGTTAGTGCACATGGCAGTGTATTCAAATTGACTGACACAGAGTAGGATTAGCGCAATCAAAAGAGATGTCTTTGTTACCTTGTTTATGTCTTGAAATGAATTGATTCCAGTTAATCTATCTTCGTCAGGGACAAATACTTTATTCAGAACAATGTCGGCATTCTGAACCATTCTGAGTCCAATTTTATTTTCAATTTTTGTACATTTCAAACCAGGAGCTCCTTTCTTGACAATAAATCTAGAGGAAGTTTGCCATATCAATTATGAGTGGTCACATTCATGGGCATAGAAATGAGTTCGAATTAACATGTGTACAGTGGTAGACAAAATGATATCAACAATAGTCCAGCGGAAGATGATTACCCATTTAGTTGATTTGTATCTGAATTTCTAGCTAAGATGATGAGCACATCTGCAAAAGTGCCGTTGCCTATCCAACGCTTTTGGCCATCCAAATGCCAACCGCCAGGCACCTACCAAGGTAAAAACCAACATGACAACATTGTAAGGTTGTGCAGAAACATTCAGATATTTTTCTTTACTTAGAAGTTAAAATTTTCATGATATCTATGTTTCAAACCTTGGTCGCTGCAGTCCTTAATGAACTTGCATCACTTCCATAATCTGGCTCTGTCAATGCCTACAGCAAGAAGACCCATTCTTCTTAAGATGACAATATGTAAAACAGCATGTTGAATACTATAATAAAAGCTACAAAGGCTAACCACATAAATAGGAGAATGCAACTCACCCAGCAACCAATTGTTCTAAACTGCGTTAATGATGGTAAGTACTTCTGCTTTTGAGCCTCTGATCCACAAAGTGCTATTTGCACAGAAAATTGAAAGGACAAAAATAGTGAGCTCAGAAAATAGTTGTCTTGGTCAGTCTATAACACATTTCAAACAAAATCATCTGAATAAGTTATAGCTTTACCAATTGTGCTCATTGCCAAAGAGGAATGTACTAAAATAAATGTGGAGCAGCTGGCATCCACCCGTGCAACTTCTGCAACAGAAATAGCACTAGCTGTAAGTGAGAGTCCTGGGCAACCATATCCCTGTAACGCCAAGATAAATTCAAGGAAAAGGATCAAATTTCAATGAGACAACGAGCGTACTGGTGAAATTTTACAGTCAAATGTAAAACATAAGTACTAGATGATTTAGTATTTTATATACCTTTGTTGTCCCTCCTGCCAAGCCAAGAGTTGCAAGTTTGGGAATGGCATGGAAGGGAAATTCTGCTTTCTCCCAGTACTGCATATGTAAAAAGCCCATAGGGGTTTATAGTTATGACATGATACACATCGAGCAGGCAACTGTCACTGTAACACAACAGCTAGTCAACCCAAGGGAGAGTTACCATCCAGCGACGACAAGAAAAAAATGTACTAGTCCTAGAAGATATACCATATATATGTTTTGCAAAAAAAAAAAAGAAGCAGGGGATTAACAAATGAAAACTATGTATAGCAACAACATACCTCTGTCATAATGGGTGCAATTTCTCTCTCCATAATACCACGGACTTTCTTCCTAAGTGTCTTCTCTTCATCAGTAAGCAAATCATCAAACTGGTAGTAATCCGATACTGCAAAAGCAATTTTATGAACTTACAACCAATATGTAGTTTATTGCATAACTATATGCTGTACATTTCTCCCTCCTTACAAGAGTTGTAAGGTGCGTTTTGATTTTTCACTTTATTGATTATTGTAAGGTGCACACGCACACACAGTAAAGGATTTTTAACTTTTGTAGTTTGAATTCGCATACATGCATGCGCAAGTGCTGCTTAAATCTGTGTGGAACATAGAAGAGCATATTCAACACAGATCAATGATTTACTAGTATGGGCAACTTGGTCTTTTACCATCTTTATCTCTATCCCGAGATAAAAAGTGGCTAACAAATTTACATGGAGTAAGGTACAGCAATCCACGATTATTAGGAATATTGAATAACAGTGACTAGTATAAATGCCACGGAAATTAATTTGTCCAACCTAAATAAGTCGAAGAAGATTGCGAAAGAAGAAACGCAAGTACTTGCTGACAACAACGTAAGAAAAGTACAACACCAGTGCAAGCCGTGCAAGCAAACCACCTGCCTAATTATTATTGCAATCGAAAGTACTCATAAATAAAGAAAGAAACGTGTATGGACCAGATTTAGTTGTTAAAAACCAACTACGAAGAAAACAATCCGATTTCTAAAAACGCATGTCTTAAATAATGTTGTTAGCTTATATTAGTTAATTCACAAGATTAAATGTAAAGCTCCCATGATAGCTGAGGAGCAGAACTGACAATTCCTCCAAACAAAATATGAACAGGGCTGAAAAGGATACTCCACTAAAATCCAATTTTCCTCACCGTGAGAGTTAAAATCCGACCAAATCCCACTAACTTAACCAAATAAAAAGCGACGTGATATACAGAGTTGAAGAGATTGCCGAAAACGATCCCATCCCAAACAAAATCTTGATTTCGTACGCCTAACAGTTCAGAACAAAATCTTGATTTCGTACGGCTAACAGTTCAGAACAGGGACTGCTTGCTGCCAACTTGGAGCCAGATTAAGCTGCCCAAGACTGGAGATAACTACGAATCAAACGATCAGGCTGACTTCACAGTGCACACACCTCTCCCAAATACTCCAATTAGATGGCCAAGACAGTTTCACCCAATCATAATATCTCATTATTTCCAATAATGGGAAACCGAGAACACCACCGGGAAAGCGAGAGAGAGGAGGTCTCACCGGCGGGTGGGAACTGGGACGCCGTCGTGGCCTGCGGGAACGCGAGCGCGACGTCCAACGCCGGCAGCCCCACCTTGCCGCCTCCGCCGCCGCCTGCAAGAAAACCATCATCCAGCTAGCGATGAGTCATCCACTCGAGCCCACCCACCCCCGAAAGTTCCGGAGGACCCCGCGCCGGCCGGCCGCCACGTCACCCACCCACCTGCCAAGCTCCCCATCTCCGCCGGCGGGGATCGGATCGAGCTCGCCGCAGCCGCCCGCTCGCTCGAGGACGATGGCGAGATCGATCGATGGATATGGAGGAGGAAAAAAAGTTTGGAGGATTTGAGCTCTTCTCACGTCGCAAGCCAACTTCACCACGTATATTTAAAAGCGAAAGGGCAGCAAAACTCTGGCCCACCTGTCAGTCTCCCCATCGCCTCCCAGGCCATCGGGATTCTGTGCTCTACGGCCACTGACAGGTGGAGTAACACTGGCACGTGCGGGCGTGGGCCCCACCTGTCAGTGAGGCTACGCGACGTGGGGTTGGCCGGAAGTGCAGTACGGATAGGGTCGGGAAGGCGTGATTACGTGAAGACCTCGTCCGAGTACTGCGGTGGCTCTGTATGTACAGGAGTGGTGGGACCCACGTGTCAGTGGAAGGGAAGGGAATCTAGTGCTGTGTTCTTCCCCTATTTTCCCAAACCACATCTCTTATTTTCTCGCGCGTTTTTCAAGCTGCTAAATGGTGTGATTATGTAAAA